TATATATATATATATAATTTTTTTTTGTGGTCTTCTACCATGCAGCATAACCGCTAAATGCCGCTTCACCTCTGGGCTCCACTAAATTGACCCAAGGCACCCCTGTCATCCATTTTCAACATGAAAGCAGGTGATTTCTTCACACTGTCTTCTGATTTTCTTTTTTCATACAACATCGTTTTCACTGAAAATTTCGATGTGGAAAATTGCTTTGATATTTAGCATGAGGACATTTGGTCGTTTGTTCACAACCTTTGTGCTTTCCTCTGCCGTTGACCTTGGTGTCTTGCCAAGCTCCTCCCCTCCACCCGCCAAAACTAAATGTCCTGCCCCCCACTTCACCCCCCACGACCCCTTTTGCTTCCTCCCTCCCCGCAGCTTTACATACTCTGCTTTTTAATTCGACTCCACCTTCCCCCTCGCTTTAAAAGGACACAGGGGGGAGGTCGCATGGCGACACCCGAGAGGAGGTCACGACGGACGGAGCGATGCGAAGTGTGGCGAGGAGGGAAGGGGGGACGGGGGTGGGGGTGTTGGGGTAACCACAGCGCCGCTGATGTAGGGAGGAGAGCAGGGGAGAGGGGGGAGCTGAAACACATGAGAGGATAACTGCCTGTTTGCTCACTCTTGTCGTCTTGCTCCCCCTCCTGTCCGTTCACTTCCACTCGCAGCGCTCCAACCGCCAGGAAGCCAGCTCCCAGGGATGCCCACCAAGGTCCCCACGTGAAGGGGAGACCGAAGCGGGGAGGGTGTGGGCGGGGGACGGAGAGCGAAAGAGAGACGGGAGACATCCGGAGGAGGACGGAAGAAGGCGGCGGCGGGAATAACGAGCAACGCCGGAGGGATGCGAGGACCGGAGGAGGAGAGAGATGCGGTACGTGCGACTCAGCTCGGCATCGCCGTGGCGATAAGCCCGGCTATACTAAATAGCCTCTTGTTTGGACATCTTTTACTCCCGTGTTGTGCGTGTGTGTGCTCCCCCCAACCCCCCCATCATATGTTTCGAATCAAAGGCATCACTGACATTTTTTTTTGTTGTTGCCACAAGAGGTGTCATGTGCTCAGAGCCTGGTTGCTTGGCTGCCTCGTGTTTGCTGGTGCGCGTGTTTGTGTGCGCGCAAAGATAACCGGGGATGGACTTTATTGTGGATGGGGTGTCTTATTTTCTGAGACTGTGCAGCTTTACGGGATGCTCCGACGAGCAAGACGCTTCCGCTGCAGATTCCAGCACTGTGCTTCCCTTGCATATATGTCACTCCTTGCGTGTGGGTTTAGAAAGGGGGTATCCACAAAGTTTCACGGGGGGGGGGAGAAAACACTGACTGAGGGAATCCCATTAGTATAGTTACATCGTGTGTGTGTGAGTGTGTGTGCACACGCTATGCTAGGTGGTACTGAACAGTGCCTTTGGAAAGGTGTTATTTACAGATTGTAAACATACATTATAATAATTATCAAATTATAATAATATATTTTAATTCCACATTTTATTTAAGAAATGTGTTGTTGTTTCATATAAAATTGGAAACAGTTCTCTTTCAACCAATTTTTTTTCTCAATTTGATATAAAATTCTGAATTGGAACAGTTTAATGGGAAATATATTTGGCTTTATTTTTTTTTTTAAATATTTTGTATTATTGCATGTAATTCATTTGTTGATGATTCATATCTAATTTTACACCAAAACACTGGACAGTTACTCTTACTTTTTTAGTCTTTCAGTTTTTTTTCTTTTTTTTTGTTAGCGCATCATTTTGTCCTACCATTTATCATTCATTAGTAATTTCATATAGTTATTAATTAATGTATTTGTGGTTCCTTAGTTTTTTTTATTTAACACCTAAATACTGTATCTCTTACTTTTTTTGGTGCTCTCTTACCACCTTTCAATTGGCTACCACGTGTTTGTTTTTTTTGGCAAACATTTTTTTTAATCATATTAAAATGTTCATGTCATTTATACTGTATTTTATTTAATGTGTTTAATTTCTTACCTGATATATTTTATTTTTTTCAATTTCACACATTATTTCAAACGTATCTCTTTATTATTTTTATCTCGTTTAAAAATGTAACTATTTTATTTTAGACAGGCAGCTGGTCACCTCAACATTCGAAAGATCGAGTACTCGCAGGGCCGTTTGGATGAGGGCCTCACGGGTCACAACAGTCGAATAGGAGCTAAAAATACAGCCGCTGTTTAACAATGCTCCGAGAAAAACAACAACAACAAAAAACAGTAATTAATCTGTCGTCTAAGAAACGAATATGCTTACTTTGGATTCCCTTGGCACAAAATATTGACCGCTGTTGTCGAAGTGCGTTCGTCACAATCTATTAGCTCGCTTCGGATGGGATTTTCATCTCAAACACGCCACTGTGGGTCCACGGCGGACAGATGGGACAAATCTATGCTGGCGCTCACGTCCCCGGAAAAGTTGGAAGCAATCTGAACTTCCTTGGGGAAAAGCAGAGTGATTACAACTGCCACTCAAGCAACCCTCTGTTATTTCACATCAAGAGACAAATCAACACAAATTCTCAGCTTAAAGTGTAAAGATGTGAAGTTGTGTGCCAGGGAGGCAAGATAAACAACCCGGCGTGTGTGGAAATGCTACAAAGGCGTCGGAACCTCTTCAGCCAAATTGCCGTCGTGCCTTCCAGATATCCATTATTTGCAGGAATCCAAATTAAAATGCTATTTGAACTCCTTGGCAGCAAAACAATGCGCGTGTGAACCACCTAATGATTTTTATCCGCTATTATGTTCAAAGGCAAAGTTGAGCTCGCAAACATTTGCCCGTGCCGACGCGCCGCAGACACGCGCCGTCATTAGCATTCACCCGGAGTGCTCCAATTATCACTCTCCTTACGCTTCTGTTTTTCTCTCCGTGAGAAGCCCGAGGGAAACATTTGGCTTTTTCAGCAGCTAAATGCTCCGCGATGTTCCCATCGAGTTTCGCTAACTTTCCCCGGACTTGCTACGGTGGCGAGGAAACAACGCTCACCACGTCCAGATTGCCCTAAGCCACACCTCCTTATCAATTAAACAATCAGGTATTGAGTAGAGCAAGGTACAGTGTTCACTGGAGAGATTTCCGAGCAAGATGGTGCCAAAGTCTTGTCTGATAGAAAAGTAGAGCTTTGGCGCCATCTTGTGGCAAATTGATGCCAAGGAACTTTGCATTGGAAATGTCCCATCTCACGTTTTCTGGACGTGCTGTGGTGACATTCGCAAGACATGTCGACTTAATATAACAATACTCGCATGCATAGATTCTTTATCCTCTGCACAGTGTGACGAACACATACTGCAGCCTAACGAGAGTTCTGATTGACTCCATGTAGTCATGTCTTTATTATACTGCCACCAGGTGGTCAAGGTGTAAAAATCAGAGGGCGCAGCACAATATTCATTGAATTGAAGCAAAAAATATGGCAAAAGTTGCTTCGATCTCGACAATAATCAATCATGTCATCACAAGTATAATATTGTCGGATGCTATTTCTCCTGTTAAAAACAAATTTATGGGTGGGGGCGGCTGGAACAGATTAATGGCACTTCTTGTCATTTCAATACGGAAAGATGATTTGAGATAAGAGCATTTTGAGTTGCAAGTGTAATCACGGAAGAAATGAAAGTCGTATCAAGCATCTCGGACGCCTCCTTGCTGTCCCCCTCACGTGTTTTTTTTTTTTTGCATTTCAACATCCTTGCCAGTTGCAGCGTGTCAAATAAAACAAGCCCACCTCCCCCACGAGGCTTCCCAATGCTGAGCTGACAAAATAACAATCTGCAAGCACATCTCGAAACGACGCAAAGGCTCGGTGTGCGTCGCGGTTGTAAATCCGTGCGACGGCGGCGTGTTTGCCGGGCCCAATCGCTGATCATTTCGCTTTTCTTAGTTCCTCTCCAGTTCCTCCTTAAACGCCCTGACACGCTGATGCTCCTGATTTACCACTCCACCGAACCCGAGCCGTGACATTTCCTCTTTGTGCTCCCCACCCTCCCCTGGTTGCCTTGTCTTTTACCGCCTCCTCCATCACACTTGGTCGGACTTCTCTCGCTTGGTCTCGCAACGTCACTAAATATAACCGAGCGTGTCTACCTCCTCTCCTTCAACCTCTTCCGCTATTTGCCGCCTCCTCCAAATCTCCGCGCTGCGTGACAAATCAGAGCATGTCCGGGCGATATGACAAGACTTTTTGTTGTTGTTGTTGTTGTTTTAGCACAACGAAAGAACACACTGCACCTTCTAACCTGTGCCACAAAGGTGGTACTAGTTTTAGCTAGAACGGTGATTGCCACATTGGGGGTCCACAAAATAATTTGCGATCAATTATGTTGCATCATTTGGGTGAACAGAATAAATGTCATATTCGATTGGTGTGATCACACACGAATAAACAGCATATCCAAATAACATAACGAAAGGTCATTTGAGCAAATTGCGCACTCCCCAAAAACACGTGATGTTCACTGAAGACCAAATCGTCCCAAAGTATGAACGTGGGTATGAATCGTTGTTTGAATATGCGCCAGAGCGAATGGCGAGCGACCAGTCAATGACGTACCGCGCCTCGAGGATTCATGCTCACGCGTGAGGACAAGAGCTACGGAAAGAGGATGAAGAGATTTATCGTCGTTATTACGAATTACTTGGGCCCGACTGATAAGTGATTTTGTAGGCCGATGCCAATTGCAATATTTGACAAAATTCCGATCAATTGAGAAAAAAATAAACATGATGAGTAAAGTAACTTCTTTTTTTTTTTGGTGCTTTAATACTGGTGAAAACTGATTAACAGGAAAAAAAAAATCAATATTGTCAGGTACTTCAATGGAGTCGTCTCACGTGTTCTTGTTGGACTTTTGAACCAAAATTCGACATTTGCAAGTTTAAAGGAAGAAGAATTTAATATTTATTTTAAAGGTCACTTGGATCAAATTCAAGATATTTCCCCCTACTAAATATGACCACTGAGAGTGGAAAAATTAGGGATTGACTGTCATTCGTAAGGATAATTAAGGCTCTCATTTGGGAAAATTAAAATGAAGACTTTTTTTTTTTTTGAAGGATCGTCAGAAATCCTGGAAAACGTGTTCAATTCCCAAATCGTTTGAGCGCTGTCACCGTAAATGCACAAGATGAGTCTTAAATTGAGATGAGACGCGACCTGATATCATCAGGAGCGGGAACGCTGACAGAAAAGCCTCCTGCGAATGGTAAGCAGCAGGCGAGCAGGCTGTGGTGAAGCTTAAATAATAACCTCCGAGAGTTATGAGCCCAACTGTGGCATTATGCGCTTGCACACCTTCTTCCTCTTGCCCGGTGATTTATCTCCAGTCTGCCAATAAACCTCAACATGAAAATGTCACATGTAGGGAAGGGCCGGCCTCGGCCGCGGGAGCCAGCCGGGGTACGCATTCATTAAATTGTCGGCGTAAATTTTTTTTGATCTGGAGGGCGCTTTGCGAGACGGTGAGGGAGAAAGTGCGCTGGGGGTGGGAGCGGGAGGTTCTAATGGTGGCGGTGGGAAGGGGGGGGAGGGTCCAATGTAAAATTGCGTTGTAGCGTCGGCGGGAGCGAGAGTGATACAAGTGGCATGGCTGATAAGAAGATGGAAGAAAGATAGAAGGGAGAGGATGAGGATGACACCGTGGGGGGAATGAGTAAGGGGGAATGGTCGTGTGAATGGCGGGATGGAGCCTCAGAGGCAAATCTGTCAGGGTGAAGGTTGAAACGGATTTTTTTTTTTTCTTTTCGCCCTTACAAGAAAGCCAGATGACTTGAGAGATACGGGATGTTAATGAAAAATCAGAAGGACGGCAACATGGTTGAAGCCACGAAAGATTAAAGTAGAAAAATCCAAGGTCAGGAGACGGTATATTAAAGCAGGAGCCGCGAATAAGTGGCTTTGCCAGGCTCCACCGACAGGGAGGTAGTATTTTTATTTATTTGATTTTTTTTTTTTTTACAAGGAGACCTTGGTTATTGATGGGAGTTCCGTCCGTCCCTACAGCGGTAACAAACCCAAATTTGTGCACAAGTCGGAACCTATGCTTATGCAATCGGAAAGTGATAATTACAGGAAAACTATTCATGGGGGTTGGGGACCAAGCAGGGAAATAACTATATGGCAAACTATGACTGAATAGAATTTCCAACTCATCTTACATTACAGTCACCCCAAAAAAAAAAAAGACTCAAATGACTTGCTTTTGAAACAAAAAGGACCCCCGCTATTCGCGGAGAATAGGGAGCGGGCTAGCGAAAAGTCGCATATAATTGATGCCATTGTGGTGAGGTCTAACCCTTTCAACGCACTAAAAAAATAACCTGTAACCTGATAACATGATAAGCTGTCCACTGTAGCAGCCGCTGTCCCTGAAAGAGTTAAAAAAATAATTTTGAAAAACACTGATTAACCTCCAATGTGCATTCCACAAAAATGAGGTTTGCTTCCCCGAAACCCCGCTGGTAACCCTTCGCGTCAATCAGTACCCAAGAAGCAGCTCTCAGCTTCGAAAATGTTGGTGACACCGATATAGTCCCGGTGAACGTGAATCCTATGTAATGTAATCGTAGTTCTATACTTTTGAAAATTCCCTCTTGCAGATAAAAACCATTCTGGCAAGATAAGGTCCTCAACTTCGCATGCGCATGTAGCCGTACAGGACGGCTGAAAAATAAAATCCATCCATCCATTTTCAACAGCGCTTATCCTGAACAGGGTCGGAGGTAGTTGCTGGAGCCTATCCTAGGTGACTTTGGGCGGAAGGCAGACTACACCCTGAACCGGTCGCAGGGCACATATAGAGACAAACGCCCATTCACACCCACATCCACGCCGTCGAACCGAACCCACGATGTCCGCTCACAAGTCAGGCGAGTGTACCACCCCGAATAAAATACAACAAAAAAAAAAAAATCATTCCAAAGTTGATGATCATTAAATATTTTCGATTCAGTCTCTGTGCGCAGCCTGTTATCAAATGGCTCACGGTCCGGTGCCGGTGCGTGGTCTGGGAGTTGGGGTTTCTGATCTCTTTTTTTTTTTTTTTTGCATTTGGAGGGAATTTCTGGTTTGAAAGATGAGACTCTTGACTGTCGGTGGACAGATGGTCAAGTGTGCGTCATGTGTGCACTGGGTGTTCGCCATGCCCTTGTTGCGTGGTCACAGAAGCCAGTCCTAAGTATCATGTCCTCCAATTGGAAATTTGCACAAGCACCGCTCACAGCTCCAAAAGCTAACACCGCGGTGACGTCAGTGCAACATGAGAATCATTTCCTGCCGCTCTGCCAATATTACGGCCCATTAAGGTGGGTGATGCGGTGTCGCCATGGCAATGACAGAGCCGCTGTTCCCGTATCATGTCATCGAAATGATTGCAATGTTGCGATTCGAAGACGATATGACTCCTACCGCCATTAAACTGCTGTTGTTGCGCCGAAGCAGGTTGACCTTGTTAAGTATGCGCTCCTCGTATACTTTTGCCCTTGTACCCGGGGATGATTTAGTAGTCCAGGTGAATCATCGTAAGCGGCTCATCGCCGATAAGAACATAAAATAAACAGGAATCACCGTCATTCATCCCTAAATCCATTAGCGTATACGAGCGTGCGCTGTTGATATTTGGCCTCGGGGCGAAGTCTTTAATCATTGTTAATCCCAATAAGTGTGCTTTTGCGCGGATGTGACAAAGATGCTCCCCCTTGCGAGCTGCAGAGAGAAAGAGAGAGGCGTAAATAAAAAGTGTCAGGCCCTCGGGTGTCGCTTCCTCGCTCGCTCTCGAAATGACCTGGAAGCTGCGAAGGCGTCACTAATTACCGCAACCGCAGAGTACGAAGGGGGGTGGGGGGGGGGAGTCAGTTAGGAGAGGTTATCGGATGGCAGAGGTGTCAAAAGTACTCACAAGTGGTATTTCAGTAAAAGTGTCGGTAAAATTAACTGCTAAAAATAGCAAATCAAACTCCTTAAAAAAAAGTACAACCTGAAATGTTACTGTCAGTTTCATATAATACAAGAAGCATTGGCTATGCCATCAAAACAACGTGTCCCAATGGCTAATGTAAACTTGCTAACAATACAAAAGGAAGTTAGCTAATGATGAAAACTGAAAAAAAATATGCGTTACCTGTTTTTTTTTTTTTTAAACAGATACATGATTCTTGTAAACAGAGCGTGGCAATTTTGAGGCTGTCAAAGGACAATGCAGACGCCACAAATCATTCTTGGAAATGACAACATCCAACAATTCCCTTCAAAACGGCAATTGTAAAATGTGTTAATGTGCCCTGGTTCACGTCGCTGCTGTCCCTATTTTGTCTGGCTCATAATAGCCCCAAGCTCTCAATCAATCAAGATCCCCATCGCCGTTAACTTCACCTCGCTGTAAGTTGTGCAGTCATCCGCGCTGGTGAAAAAAGTAACAACTCTATTTTCGAGAAAGCACAGACAATTACTTTTAAACGTAGGAAATACGAGGTGCGTCAGAGAAATGAATACTCCACTAAAATACACATACCTAACTGAATCGACTTCAGTTAACCAAGTATTGGTCACACCCACCAGGTGTCAGCGAGACGGACGGAAAATTGAAGTGTCGCATCGACGGGGGGGTCGCGGCAGACGCAGTGTCGAATTGGGAGTGACGAGAGCACGGCCGAGCGTGGCGGACGGACTGTCACACGGCGAGCAGATGAATCAGGGAGGGTGTCAGCGCGGCGCATCGTCAAGACGCCCGGAAGCACCGCCGCCGACTCCCAAACATGGCGGAAAGGAGAAATGACGTACGCACGCGCGCATGTGAGGGATATGACAAGAGTCACAACATGCTGCATTGAGTCACATCAGTGCCGCCACGGTGACATTAGTACACGTACATAAACAGCGTCGCCTGCAGTCTGCGTGAATGAGCCTTAATTACAATCTCCTTTCCCTCGCTATTGTGTTCGTCAAGTCTTTTCTTTTGCCACCTCCACCCTGTCATTACATTGGCTGATTGATCTGTTCTTCCTCCATTCTGCGTTGACCCGGCTTCTCATGCATTTTTAAAATCGCTGCCTACCTTATCGCTTCTTCATTATGCCGAGGAAGAAGCGTGCTGTGTTTCAATGGAATCGCAATAATATGGGAACAATTACAGTCTCTCACACCTCCTTTTGTCTCTCTCTCTCTCTCTCTCTCTCTCTTTTTTTTTTTTTTTTTAATAGGAGTTTCTACTGTATTGAGCCACAAGGAAATGACTCGGTGAAAGAAGGGCCAAAAGAAGAAAAGAGCTTTGAAGGGGAGGGCAATAAAAGCAAGAAAGTGAGAGCCACAAAAGCTGAATGACGCAGGGTGTGATGGAGAGCCAAGCGGGTCCGGTCTATAACTTGGCCGTCCTTCCTTCTGATGGCCCGGAGGACAACACAATTGGAGAGGTCCAACAGCCAATGTGATGGACACAAAACTGAAGGACAGGTTGCATCCCCCATGCTTATTCGCTTGGAATCTTTCTCGCAGATGAATGGGGAGCGAGAGCAACAGAAGACATGCGGCAGTTTGAAGAACATTTAGACTGCATGCATTTATTTTTCTACAGGTAAAAGATAAAGGACTTTATTCTCTTTCTTTTGATCTTTCATCATCTCGACCTGTGAATATGACTTTTCCTTGGGTTAAAGACAAGGGATAACCTGTGCACGAGCCCAAAAAAAAAACCCCAAAACAGTTATTTCAAAGGACAGTCAACAACAACTCCGGATCTCTTGCTGTATTAATGCCGATAAATCAAATGGAAATTCAATTTCCTTGGTGATGCACTGATACGCCCGGGCCTTTTGCGTCAGATCCGACTGCCCGCAGAGTTGTTGGATGTTGGGGGAGAGCGAGTGGACAAAGCAATGGTGAGCAAAGAGCCCAACCTCTTGCTGACGGGCCAAACCAACGGCAAAAGTGCCCTGGTAGAAAAAACCGGGACAATGACTGTGCGTTCTGTGCTTCTCAATCGGGACTCCCCGGATATTGAGAGCCGCCTGAGGCGGCGCCGCAACCGCACCCACCAGGTCCGCTTTAAAGACCTGGAGGATGGCAGCAGCAGCAGCGGCAACAGTGGCACGGGTGAGAACAGCAGCCATCAGAGGCCGACGGCAGATTGCGACAGTCCTCATCCTCTGCGCAAACACAGCAGCAGGTCCCCCAAGGGACTGTGGGGGGATCGGGATGGACCACGAACCGGCGGCCTACCTGGTCAGACCTCTGTGGTAGGGGCGGTGCGTGGTGACATGGCGAGTACAATAGAGGTTGTGGCCGCTTTCTTGGCCAGGGCCCCTCCCCATCCACTGACGCCAGGGCCCACACGTCGATGCTGGGCACCGCCACAGACTAACTCCTTGACCTTGCCAATGACGCGCAAGCCAAGCACCAGCACAGCCATCCAGACCTCGCCATGCCTGAAAAAGTCTCTCTCCTCCACACACACCCGTAGTCACAGCTTGGGAGATTCTTTGGGCATAGACGGCGATGATGAACACGACTCCCAGGATGAGTACCTTTCACACAACCACGTGGCCCTCCTTGGCTCCAAGGATCTGAATTGTCCTGAAGGGCCCGTGGATCGAACTGTGATTGAACGGAGGTCGAAATCCTCCAAGGTGGACATGAAATCAACCGTCGCCGTCACAAAAAACTCCAGGCACAGTTGTCCTCCATCAGTCCTTCACAACACCGAGCCATTCCACTGCACTACCCCATCCTGCCGAGATGGCCCCAAGCGGCAGGGCAGTGTTACTCCCTCGCTGGTCAGGAGGAGAAAGCGTCTGAATCGGACAACGAGCGATCCTGGAAAAGAAGTGCACTATTGCACCACTCCTACTCAGACTGAAAGCCCTCATTCCACACCGCCGGCTACAAACGCCAGACTTTGCGTTTCGCGAGTTCAGAACGAGTGCACGTCTGCCCGTTTAAAATATTGTACGACACAAAGTCAAACGGAGGACAAACAACAGTCTGAAGTCCGGATTCAAAACAAAGACTCCAATTCGACCATCCCTTTAGATATTGCTCAGCGCACCACTCAGATACAAACAGACTCTCTCTTGCCTTTGCCTCCAGACCATCAACCATCCCGGACACAAACCTCTAGCCCGAGTCCTTCTCCGCCTCCACCACAATCGACAAAAAACTCAGATCACTTTCAAGTTGAGAGTCCCGTGCCTCCGAATGAGATACAGGACCCTCCCCCCTCACAAATACCTACCGTGCCTTACTCGACATCTCCGCCCCCCACAAGGGCACCAACACAGAGCCCTGATGAATGCAAAGAGCCATCTTGCTCCTCGTCAATCGAGCCGGCTCGTGTGCCCCCCCCAACTCCCTCAGCGCCGCTGCCCGTTTCTTGCTCTGCACCCACTGTGATCCCGCAGCCCATCTCATACTATACTCACGTTACACCGTCGGCGTTTGCCAGTGCACCGTTCGTCCACTCTGATCCATTGCCAGCAACACCAGCATGCCCTACTGCGAACTGCGCCTCCCCCGTCCCAAACACGACATCCCCAATTCCCCTCACCTGTCTGACCCCTTCTCCTGCACATAACCCCGGTGGGGCTCCATGTGACGCCATAAACCAAACCAGTGCTCAACCACAGCCGCCAAATGCCTATCCGGCTCCAAATCCAACACCGTGTACAATCGTGACACAAGCCGCTTTGTCTTGCACCTCCATTTCTTATTACACGACAACCCATGCAGCAGACCCTAACCACAATCCTACTAGCCCTACGCGTACCACCCTTATCCAAACTGTAGCTCACTGTAACATTCCATGTCAAGCTTTGCATAACGCCTCCTCGGCCGGCATAGGCATAGCACCCTACTCCTCTTCAGTCCCCAAACTAACAACAAGCACATTGCCGCTGCCACTGAGCAATCTTCCAAACGTGCATCACTGCGCGACACCAACAAAAGCCGTCCCTCTGTACTCGTTTCGAGCCGCGCCGCCATACACGCCTCCCTCTCAGGCGCCCTTGAATGCTCAGGATAAGAGGGGCATTCGACTACCGCCTCCCGCACCGCCGCCGCCGCCCTACACGCCACGTAAAAAAGGAAACGACCCGCCGGAGGCTGCAGTCCGACCGCCTGCGCTCAAGACAGAGAACAAGGCCAACGAGAAGGAGAAAGACGAGGAGAAAGAAGCTGCAAAATGCGCAGACACGCCGAAAGTCTGCGAGGGAGCTAGCTCTCCTAAGCACAGGGCTAAAACTCCACTAGTTTGTGTGGCAAAAGCAGAAAAGCCATCCACTCCCGCCAAGGCCTGTTTTAAGCCCAGCTGTCTCAGCTCAGCCCAGGCTCAGCTTGGGGTACTACACAAAATGCTCTGTGCGGGATCCAACGCTCCCAACAGCCAACGCGTTCTCCCTCCAAACCAGCAGGGATGTTCTGGGGCCAAGGGTTGTGTCGTTTCCGGGGAGAAAGCCCTGAGTCCCACCCAAGCTGACACGCTGAGACAGGTCCAGGAGATTCTGGGAGGTTTAATGTCCGGGGCCAGGTGTAAGTTGGACCCGGCCCGAGTTACAGAGAAGCTCTTGGGCCCCAACGGGCCCTTGCATGACATTCGCAGCCTGCAGAACCATCTCCACAGTCTGGAGGGAGTCCTGGAGACCAGCCAGAATACGATCAAGATCCTACTGGATGTCATTCAAGATTTGGAGAAGAAGGAGGCTGAGCGAGACGGGTGAGGAAAAAAAACTTCAGTGCTTCACATTAACACATGCACATGTATGTCTGCCTCACAGTTCTGAGGTTTGAGGTTCAGATCTTGGCTCCGGTAACATCAATTTTATTGTGGGATTGGCACCAGCTCACTCATGGCCCGAATAACGATCGGCGTGAGAGGAAATGGATGGTTCACATGAACACAAGCATCAGAGATGAACGATATACTTGAGAAAAAAAAATGACATCATCCTTGGTAAAGCCGTACTTTAAAGTAAACATGAATCCGGCGAATTTAACATAATCTATTTAAACCGAGGGAGAGACTTCAGTCAGATTGGATGATGAAACAATTATGACATCTACTTAACTGTCTTAACCTCCATTTTAGGCCAAAATAAATTAAGGCACAGAGGCTTGGACTTATGATCCAGGATTGTTGTGTGTAATCCTCTAGAGAGATAAGAGCGTAAATTCAACAATAATGTCGAAGCTTACTAAACTGAAGGTTAAATCAAGCCGTTAGTCTGGGTTTAAGCATTGAAGCTTGAGGTCAAATGGGAGCTTAGCCATATTTCAACGTGTAAATATATGACCAGACGCTTCGGGCTAATAGAGCTGTAAACCCGAGCTAGGCGGGGGCCTCTCCGGGACCGGGTGTTGGGCGAGGGAGCCATCTGGTCGTCTGCAGCCTGACGTGAAGAAGACTCAGTAGGAATATATAAGTGATGAAGGACTGCTCGTGTGCAAAGTCAATGCCAGCGTGACACCAGAGTACCTGCCGTTTTATTCCATGACAGCTAATATCGCACGCTCAAGGAGACAGCCACTCTAATGTAAAAAAAAAAAAAATCAACTTTTGACTCTTCGGTGAACCAAACATAGCGGGATTTTGAAACCTCGCTGGCAATTGCACATTTTTGTCCTTGAAGGGTTTGCATTCTCCAAGCAGACCAGGAGAAGCTTATCTGTCCTTTTATCTCCGGTAGACTTGATTGCAATGGTCTTCTGACTGGATTAAAATAACTTCTCTCAAGGGCTAATCGACTATTGAAATAATTATAGATTAAGTTGATCATCAGTTAGTTATGGGTTAATCAATGCACCTCTAAACTGAATTGTCTTATGAGTAGTAAAGGACATCCTAGTACAGGGACCTTTAGCTGGATATCAAGGATATCCAATAAACGATCAAACAGCTTTACATCGACGATCCCGCTCAACTATTTATATCTCAGACAACTTTTACCGAGCACAAAGTAAGCATGGCGAGCCCCCCGAAGGCAAACACCGCGTTGGAGCAGATTGAGCGTCAAGAGGAGGAACATGAAATATCGCCTGGCAGGAGGCACGGAGGGTTGGGGGCGGAGGGAGCATCTGTAGTTATTTTGACGAGCTCTCATGTCAGTCATGCCACAGAAAGTATTCCTGACGCATCAGACAAAACGTCAGACTTTTGATCGACGGACTGCCGCGCCGCCGCGGGGGAAAAAAAAAAAAAAAAAAATCTGCATCTCCATCTCACGTCGGCGGTTTGGGATGTCGCTAAAACTCTCATTTTCGTTTAATAAATCTACTACTAAGCTTCTTAGTCATCTCTGACGCCTTATCGCCGCAACACGATGAGAGATACGGATGGCGTCTGAGGCGGGTAATCCCAAGGGCGCATCGTTGCCAATGCGACGCGGACTTTGGCGGTTTCTCGCCGTCGTTTTGCGTGCTCCGGCATGGGAATGCGGTGATGGGGGCTCGCTGTAATGCATGCAGACTTGACTTTTACCTCATAAGCATTATTTTATGCCTGGAGTGATGTAGTGACTCATGAGTTACATAACAGTTGGAGGAGGAAGGGAAGGAGATTTGGTTGGGCTGAGTAGCGCTCATTAAAAAATGATCAGGGGATTGATAATTTTTTATTTTTTTTTTGTGTGTGTTCGCTCAGTAGAGAGATAAAAACACGCTTGCACGCATACGCATGTACGCGTTCATTCACACACTCTCAGACACTCTCACAGGCCCTCTCACTTAAACACACACTCAGCGCCCCCATACACAAACTCGGTTCTCTCGCACACACACAAATATGCATGCGCACACACACAAACATCCTTTTGCCCCTTGATATGTCATCTCAATGCTTTTCCACAGAAGACATTCATACCGAACCGGTCAGGACATTGAGAACTGCGGGACCTGCAGGGACTGCGCGTGCATCATCTACAGGTATGGGAATGCAAGGTTTAAGTGACACAATTTCGATTATTTGTTTTTGCTTTCAAGTGTCAAATTTCGGATATGCGTGATGATCCCATAGACGGAAAAAAACCCAAACCAAAAACACATGGGCTTGGATATCTTCAAATTAGATTCAGGCCACCTGCAAATGTGGATAAAAATCCAAAATTTTGAGAATATCTGTTCTTTGGGGTGTTGGAACGGATTAATGGCATTATAATTCATTTCAGTAGGGAAAATGTATTTGGTCCTTGGTCAGATAAATAATTAAAAGCCCTTTGTGCATGCAGGTTACGTCATGCAATATATGTGATATGTATGACTTGACATGGACAAGAAACAGTCAGTCACCCCCAAAATAAAATAAAAATCGGACACATACATTCAGTTGAAACTCCGCATTTGGACCTGCGGTGTAAAAATCAACCTCCGTGTGGTTATTTGCTGCGTCCCTCGTATTACATGTTCAGGCAACGAGAGCACATTGCGTGTCTCGGCGCGCAGTTATTGTGCATCGCGCTGTCATTGCGGATCACATCACGTTTGGGGAATTTGGTCGTATGGCTTCATTGCCGCGACGGGCGCGGAGTCGCTTCTCCGCGTCACGGCGCGCTTGAGTTGAAACCTGCAACGTACCGTGTGGAATTATAATTTAATGAAAGGAAAATGCTGCTAAGTGGCATACTCGCCATATAAGCAGGTAGGCAAAATGGTTGACAAGCCAGGACGGTTCTGGGCGAAAATCTTTTGGACAGATAAGACAAAAGTGGAGCGTTTTAATTAGCATGGAGGAAGCTCGGTTATGATCTGGGGCTGCTTTGCCACATCCAGCACAGGATGTCTTGAATCTTTGCAGGGTGCAGTAAAATGTCTAAACTCTCAAAGACATTCTGGAGCCAAACGCCCAGAGTCAGGAAGCTTGGTCATGGGTCCTCTAAAGCAGTGGTCCCCGACCACCGAGGCATTTGCTACCTGGCCAAAAATCTGCGGTGTTTCTTTGTTTCTTTTTGTAGCGGAGCATGTAGGTCCTAATTGTGAATGTCCGTCGTCATCCAAAATACTTGCCGCCCGTTTCACAATAACTTTCAGATCAGGAATATACAACAGCTATTTTTGTTGGAGCCTTTCTGTTTAACAACCGAACCAAAATCGAGTTATTAGTGCGGGACCAAGCAGCGCAGGGGAAAGAGAGCCGACGCACACATGACTAGCAGCAACAAATCTCATTTTGATTGCGACTCAGGTGATTTAGGCTTTCACCTCGACATCTCAAGAGCGGAAACATGCCAGGCAAACAATGTCATACCTCTTCGGCAACCAAAACATAATGAACAGCTCCGGGTTGGTCATCCATCCTCTTAAGTGAGAGTCTGGGGGAAGGTGGCAGGTACACGAGTTGGACTGATGGCGTAACGCAATTAGATTTAGAGGCGCGCTCATCGCCTCATTATCCAGGCAGGCTAAAAGAAATGGTTCCCATGGCTATGCGAGATCATTGACATTAGTCTGATTGGCAAACAAATGTAATCATTCCCCAAGTCAACCTACTACATGATCACAACATTGTTCGGGATCTATGCAGTGATTTGTTTGTGTCCCCAACCTATTTTTGTGCCACGAACAAACTGGTTCCATCTCAGGGGAATGAGAGACACTGATTATTAAAAAGTAAAATAGCATGTCAATAATGTACGATATAAAAAATGTAGTTAGAAGATAATTAAATAGACTATAAACAAATAAACAGTTCATTCAAAATAATTCATAGTCGCTTCTTCTGGTGGGCGTGACTCGGCCAGTGCGTAGCAGTGTAGTACAGTCATGCCCCCATCCCCAAAAAAACTAAAAAGTAAAGATGAACTTTTACTCATCTACTGTCAGCGACTCATTACTTGTTTACTTGTGCTGCTGCACCATTTGTGTTCAGATATCGGTTCCCTACAGCGTGACAACACAGCCACATAGATGCCATTCATTAGCCTCTCTTTGGCCTTTCACATTAAGTGGTATTTAAGATAGTGGACATAAAAGAGTGATTAAAAGATTATGATACTGTATTCCCCCTGTAATTCTCTTTGTTTTATGTTTACTTTGACAGTAAATTTCATGTGGGAGTGGTGTAAGACCGCTTGAAGCCTTTTTTTTTCCCAGCTTATGTTTCACTGATGTGATAAGTTCAGCGCCACCACACAGGGCTCGTATCTCAAATTTTTTGCTCACAAGTCAAAGTCAAAGGCATCATCCGAACGCCGATTTGCGATACATTGCCAATGCCAGCTTGACGTCATTGAAATTAATGTCACGTTTCACATGATGGTGTTGTCACTGCCTGGTGTGCAGCATCAGTGTAAATACAGCCATATTAGATAGGCAACTCTAAAATATATCGATTTTTTTTTCCATTAAAACCACAAATATACTCCAGCTTTCCAAATTTGACACTCAGTGTGGGGTTAAAAGAATGGAGTTCGTCGAAAGAGTCATAGTAGTAGTCGAGAGCTCTCAGCTTGAAAGTAAATTGACATTCATCCCGGCAGATGGAACCAATACAGAGCAGGAGCATTACTTTTGAGGAAGTGATCATACACGCGCACGGATTGAAATGATTCGGGGCATTTCTTGCGCTCCCTTAATCAGACATTAGTCATCATCGACACACCGCGCTTTCACGGATCAGATGAGACGATTGAGCCGGGTCGTCTCGTCCGTCAAGCCTCCTGCTAATGCATGATGGGGTGGATTGTCTGCTTGGCCAAGACGATGGGGGAAGAAAAAAGCAGAGTGGTGGGGAGGGGGGGTTGGTGGTAAATGAGCAGTGTGATGGAGAAGCCGTATCATCTGACAGGACAGATTCCATCAATTCCCCCCGCACACCCCCCCCCCCCAAAAAAAAAGAAGAAGAGAGAAGAAGAGGAGCTTGAGCACATTACATCAGTGGAGATGAAACGCTCCCATAGGAGGAGGGGGAAAAAAGAGTTTGGAGGAATGCGTCAATGCGAGTGATTTCAGACCAGAATGTTGCCTTCACCCCGGTTTGACCCAGCTGGAACATCAAATGCAACACAACTTTTTTTGAAAGCTCCCGAAAAACATCAATCCTTTATCGCTATCTTTACGGCTTATCCTTTGTGAGCTTTGGAAACAAATTCCAGCGACCATTTTGCATCCTGGACAGGCCGTGCCTTCCTTATTTATACAAAAGCAGCAGTTTGGGATTTAAAAAAAAAAAAAACGAAAGAAAATATACAGTGGTCACTTGACTTTACTTCGTTTCATCAATCAGTTTACTTACTCGCCGGAACGAAGTATCGGCGCAGGTAGCGTGACTCGATAATAACGTTGAGTTTTCGTCGGCAGACGTTTTACTGAACACGACCGTACGTCTCCCCATGATGCATTGCGTTGAAGTGTGTGTGTGTGGCTTTGTTCTCTCAACTTCTTTCCAGGGCAGAACTTATGTAAACTGCTGATGCCACTTTGCATGCAAATGCAAATGCAACTGGCAACAGAACATTACATTTTGAACACTTTGTACCAGGGGGGAAGGAATCCCTCGCTACGTAATTGAACACTTGATTCGTTCAGGCTTGGGGAAAAAAAAAAAAGCGTCTTATTACGGCGAGAATAATGCACGACACGTCCAGCACTATTTATCGGGCAGCGGTGGCGCATTAATCGCGTATTAATATGTAGAATCCGATCGTGTGACCATGCAGGAGAGTTAATTAGCAACACCCCCCATCCACCCCGCCCCCACCCCCTCGGTGTCATCATTCTTGTTACGAATGGCCCAACGTGAGAGTAAAGTGGAGCCTAACAAGGAGCTGTTGTGCTTAATCCCTGTGGAGTGCAGCCTAATCAGATCTGCACTCTGCTGCTTTATCTCTGCTCCTCCTCACTCGGTTGCTCCATCACGCATTTGGCTGGGGGGTGGGGGGGGGGGGGGCGGGATTCCAACAAGCGGGGCGCTTGGACG